ATTGATCTTCTGGAACGTTCATGGCATCAAAAACCTCTACCAATACTTCCCTCACTCCTTTCCCGATATCCTCGGATTAACGGAGACTTGGCTGCTTAATCCCTTGACCTCCTGTTCCGGTTTTTTTTCGTGAGTTCAACTTCATCTCAGTGGATGGCACCAAAGAGGATCCAAGTGCTCCCAGTCGTGCAAGTGGTGGTCTAGCTATTGGTTTCCACAACAGTCTCTATCCTGAGGTACTGTCCACCTCCGAGTATTGTATCTTCGCCAAATTCCCCAACATTCTCCCTCCAGGTCTCCCAAGGAACCTCTATGCTGGACTAATTTATATCATGGACTGGCTGATGTGGGAATGGTCCTTGCAGCACTACAGCAGGTCTTGGAGGAGGTTGAGGTCACTAGGACGGGTGAGCCGCTTATTCTCGGTGGAGACTTCAATGCTTGGGTTGGTCCCGACGGATGCAATCCCGACGAGCTGCTCGAGGGCTCCGTGTTATCGGCCGAAAGGTCTCTCACTTCCGAAGCAGAAAACGCCCGTGGTTCTGCCATCTGTCTTTTCATGCAGGATAACGGCCTTGTTCTCCTGAATGGCAGGACTCCTGGAGACACTCAAGCTCAGATCACCTACGTTGGCCCCAGGAGGACAAGCACTATAGACTTCGTATTCTCAGACCTCTGCAACATCCACCTAATCCACGACTTCTCCGTAGACCACTCAGTCCTTCCCTCTGACCATTTCCCTACCTCCATAGACCTTCTTGGCCCCCCCACTCACCCTCCAAATCCCCAGAAACCCCTAAATAGACCTCGCCTTCTTTGGAACCGAAACCGAATCGATGACTACCTCTTCCACCTGTCCAATTCCCCCTCCCTACTGCTCAACCCCGAGGCCGATATTAACCTCCTGATGGAAACCCTTCATAAGACGATTTATGAAGCTGCAAAAGCATCAGGTATGCTCATTTCTCCGAGAAACACTTCCACCTTCCATCCAAAACAGCCGTGGTTCGATCGGGAATGCCTAGCTGCGAAGAAATCAGCAGAATCTTCACTTCGTACCTGCCGGAATGCCCAGTTTTTACCTCCAGCTGTTGTCTCCTACCGCAGTATCAAGAAAACATACTTTGACCTCATCGACGACAAGAAGCAAGCGTATTTCAACGACATCAGAGAGATGATCGCCAATACTAAAGCACAGTCCGACTTCTGGAGAGCATTCCGGTCCTGTACAGTTCGATCTCCATCCCCAGAGCTCGACGTAGAGGTCTGGCAATCCTTCTACGCTGGCGTCTACCCTTCGAGGGTTATTGACTTGGGTGATTACAGTGGCTCTGCTGACCAGCGTCTTGATGTTCCAATCGCACTGGGTGAGATTGAGTCGGTCCTGGTGGCTGCGAAGTGCGGAAAGGCTGCGGACTCTGACAGCATCCCTGCAGAATTTTACAAATTCTTCCCTCCAGCCAGTATGCTGTATCTCCTCAACCTCTTCAACAAAATCCTTTCCGAGGGCGTGGTTCCTCATTCTTGGCATGAAATTATCTTGACCATGATCTTCAAGAAGGGTGAAAAGACCAAGCCAGAGAATTACAGAGGGATCGCGCTCGTCAACGTCGTCGCAAAAAATCTTCACGAAGATCCTCTGCTCCAGGCTCGACAAATGGGCGGAGGAGGCGAACATCTTCCCGGAAGCTGGATTCCGCAAAGGACACTCTACGCTAGATAAGATCTTTGTAGCGATGGCGACCGTCCAACTTTAGCTGAGACTCGGTGGCCGCAAAGTTTTCGGTCTTTTTGTTGACCTGAAACGTGCCTTTGACTCGGTAAGTCATCCTCTCCTGTGGCAGAAACTCTATCAACTGGAAGTCAACACCAAGATTATCAACATTCTTCGTAACCTCTACAATCACGCTACCATGAGAGTGCGTTCCGGCGGCCGCCTTACTGAGAGTATTGATATCAGGGAGGGTTTACTGCAGGGCGAAAGTCTAAGTCCCACTCTCTTCCTGCTGTTTCTGTCCGACATCGAGTCTTTCCTGCGTGGCAGAGGTCACCTCGGTCCTAGCATCGACGCCTTCAGGAATGGTCTGGCGCTTTTGTTCGGAGACAACTTGGTCCTGTTCTCTGCCAACCAACTGCACATGTACCGGCTTTTATTTTCCTTAGAGGCTTATTTCCAGACAAACCGCCTAACTGTGAATGTCTCCAAGATGAAGCTGATCCTCTTCAGATCCGCCGGGCCCGCCACACTGCTTCCAAACTTCCCCCTAAAAATCTACGGCGAGAACATCGAAGTTGTATCTACTTACACCTACCTGGGGGTGGTCTTCTCTTCATCGGCGCTTGGCTTCCGTGCGGCACAAGCTGCCACACCCAAAGCTCGGATCGCCCTTGGGTCAGTAATGTCCATCTTGGCAAGAGCCAGCTCAGACTCGTGGGACGCTCCAATCAAGCTATTTGACACCATGATCGCCTCAACTCTGCTCTATGCGGCACCCGCCTGGGCCCTTCAGTACATCGACAATCTGGAGACCATTCAGCTTGGCTTCTATAAGAGGCTTCTTCTGCTTCCTCCTTGCACACCAGGGCATCTCCTCCGCCATGAGGTAGACGCAGTGAAGCTGATTTTTCGGGTCATCAAACTCACCCTGGGTTGGTACACCAGTGTCCTCCAACAGAAGGATGACAGGCTACCTAAGGCCTGTCTTCTCAGGTACATGGACTTGGCTGCGACGTCTCGAGCTTGCTCCCTTTCATCCTCCAGGGCGTCATTCACCAGAGCACGCCGATACAACCCCATCCTCCAGCTCCAGGGTCTTTTGGAGTCGTTCAACATCCAATTTGATGCCACTGACTCCTCGGCATCCTATTGGTCTTCGGAAGGGTCTAGATTTCTGTCTGAGCTGAAAGCTCATCTCCTTGAGGCTGACCAGACTAGGACGGTAGCATCTTCTTTTTGCCTGCCGTCGATCCCAAGGACCCTATCGGGTCTCCCAGCCAATTACCTCTGCCTACGAACTCCGATCTCCATGACCAGGGTGAAGGCCCAAGTGAGGCTTGCTAATTTCCTTGAGATCTCCATCGACATCAACAAGGTGTTCTTCAAGATCGACCCATCCCTGCCCTGTCAGGTGTGCTCCAGTAGTTCTGCCGAGACCTTGACCCACTTCCTATTGGACTGTCCCGCCTATATTTCCTATCGATTGTCACTCCTAGGCAATAATTGCGACCCCGACAGGAACCCCGAGGACAATCTCCAGTCCCTCATTCACTTCCTAGACTCAGATGACCCGCTGGATACCAAGAAACTCTCCTTGTATGTCAAGTGTGCCCTCAGGGCGCGTGACAAAGCCCTGAACCCGACCGACGCCGGTCCTTCCTCCTTAGTCCGCTTTGACAAGGTCAATCTCATCACTAATTACTTTACCTCGGGAACGAACCGTTAATTTTTTCTCGATTACTGTACGATTTTACTCCTAGCTCTAAGTATCTAATCTTATTTATTGGTGATTATTTAAGGGAGCTTACAATGTTATTTTTCCTTTTCTTTGCTCTGCCAGGCCTCGTTACTGCCTCAATTTTCTATCCGCAACCACACTGGACCTCCACTTTGAACTTGAATTTCAGTCTCAACTATATTTTCTTTTGATTTCAGCGCTAGTTTAGCGGTCATCTTCGAACAACGGACCTTCCCCCCCCCTCCGATACATTTTTTGTACTTTCTACTTAAAAATGCTTATTGTTCACTGTTTATTATTTCTATCATTATGTATACTTTCAATTCTCTCACATCCGATATGTACCCAGCTGTAACAAGGTTGTACCTCATAATCAGCAAATAAAACGGATACGAATACGAAGATTATTTCTTTTTAATTTGACCTCGAATACGCCAATTTTGTTATTTTTTTCAAAACAAAAAATCGCCCTATTTCATGCAACATAGCCGGAATATGTATTTCCAAAATATTCATATTTAATCCGTTTGATATAACAAAACAATTACACCAGTCAAAAATCGGACTGGTCATTCCAATAACAATAAAGCTGGCTACATAAAGATCAAAATTGAAAGAAGTAATTCCTATTAGTAATTCTATACATTTTTTAAAAAAAGAAATTAAAATTTATGTAACTCCAAAACTGAGGAGAATGGACTATTTTTAATATTTAACTGTCTGCGCGGCTAACGGACAGTAAAATTGTTTTTCGCACTAATTCTTCGTTTTTATACATATTATATTTAATCGATCTTCAAGGTATAACAAATATTACTTCAATAGTCTGCGACTATGAGAACTCATAGTAGCTTACTCTTAAATAACAAATAAAATTAATTTCAAAAAGAATAAAATGGTGAGCGCATGGAGGAAATTTCACTTTCTGCACTCGTCGCGTGAGGCACTCCTCATACAGCTATCCCCACTACACTTACTTCCTTACCCCCACTATGATCGTACTGGAACCCTTGTAATTGGAAGGGTTGTAAACTTTATATATTTTCTAATTGGTTTTATTGTAGTAGCTCCGAGCTACTTGGACATTCCCCATCCCTGCCATAGACTCCTTAGTTTTAAGTTTATTTGTTAGATTAATGAGAATTTTCTACGTTTTCCTTTTTCGTTTGAGATCCGCATTGGAAATATTCAGTTTGTTGTCTCCGAGGTTAAAGGACGGCTGGTCTAGTAGACGGGATGAGTTGACGTCGTTTTCCAGTCCTAGATGGAAAATTCTGTTACATGTTTTATTCTTATTTGAGGCTCACTTTTGAAACTATATGATTTCCAACCATGTCACTCAACTCAAATTTAATGAAAATCATATTTAAATAAGGGTTTCATTTTGCCCTTATTTCTTCAATTATTGATTTGAAAAGCTTATATATGTTACATTTTTTAATTTTATTAATTGCTAGACGATAAAATGTTCATGCATCAAACTATTTCAAATACTCATTAATTGAATTAATTTAATACAAAGAATAAATAATCTAATTAACTTACCTCGAAAAATGCAAGAGGGGTATCAGTACAGCTACCAATGGTAGTACTCCAGGCCACATTGCGGCGGCCTGCAAGCAAACATAATCATGTTTCCGATATATTGTGTTACTTTTGTGTTTATATAGGGTAGGGGAGAGTGAATAAGAAATGGTCTATTTCCTACACCCACGATCATTCCGGTAAACCATGCAACCAATCCCGGACTGCACATACACAAGGAAGGGAGGTAAATAGGTATGCAACAGGTTCCGTGGTTACACTCGATTCAATGTTTGCCATTGTCCACATTAAAAATAGAGTTTTGTGGCTGAACATTGATGCCACAGGGGATTTCCTAAGTGACCAGAATCACTGAGTTTATCCACTGATTAGTAATAATCCCTCACTGGTACATAACAAAGATCCACTGAAAATTATCTACGAGTAAATTAACTTGATTAAATTGAACTAAAACATTATGAGCTGCTGCTAAAGTATTGACGATAAGGAGAAAAACAAGGACGTGAGAAATGCGATTCAACACGACAGGGAATCGCACGATATCATGATTGCATGAACAGCTAGGCAGGCTTTTCGGGATTCGAACTTTCCAATCTCTTGAAATTTCTTGTCTTGATATTTCCACAATTGCCCACAGGTGGAGTCTTCCTCCGAAGATATCCATTTCACTTGAAACTTTAGACATTGGTAGTGTGAACGTACGTGCCTCACGAAATTCAAGAATGTACGTGCCTCACATTCAAGAAATACAACTTTCACGATTTTATAAAGATCGAATATCAGGCCAAATTTATGCTGCAGGAATAAACTAACGAAGTTGATTGGAAAGATGATTGTACACATAGAAAAATCGAAACGTAAATTATGTTTTAATAAGCATAAGTTGAGATTTGCTAAACGTGATTTACGCCCCGCGATAGAAATTTTCAGTCTCTCCGATCTCTCCAAGACTGTGAGAAACTGAAATTATTATACCTGGATCTCCTATAACCAGTTTCACGTCTCAGAGCATCTTTGATGAGAGACTCGAGTGAGTGTTCGCCAATGCGGTAGAGACGGGAGTCTCTCATTGAAAGATTGGGACTTGGAATTTTCGGGACTGAGAATCAGGACTTCGCTAAAACGAATTATTCATTCTTTAATCATTAATTGAATAGACAGTGGAGCAAATATAATATATGGATAAATTAATTAGGATAAGAATAATTAATATAAGGACAACGGAGCAAGATGAGATAATATGGTGATCGGGTGATGGGCGAATTATATCTTGGGGTAAAATAGAATAAGTGGTGAAATAAAGACAGGCTACTTAGCCAGTAGGGTAAATTGGGTGGCAGGTAAATTGAATACTGTTGTTTAGTGGGAGAATCGGGTAAAATGGAATTCATAATATCGAAGAACACGCGGATTCAAAATAAATATGAGTTTATTAAAATAAAAGCAGGGGTAGAGGGGAAGAAAAATACAAAAAGAAGTGGTAAATCAGGAAGAAAAAGAAAGAATGGAATCAATTGAAAGACGTTACTTTCAGAGAAGAGGTTCAGATGAAAAAAGAATGTGTAAATAATAGAATGCAATTGGGGAAATTAGAGATTTGTTGCGCTACTCACTTCTCTAAAAGAAAGATTGTCGCCTCGACAATCAAGCAAACCTGCTAAGAGCAACTGAAATACAGAAATTAAAAAGTTCTGAGATTTCAGTTATCTGGGGCCCATAACCCATATTCTTCGGAAACCCAGCCGAAAAATATAGAAGAAAATAGGAATTAATTCGAAATAAGTTTATTCTTCTAGCCTGGAACATCGATCCAATCGATGTCATTGTTGGGGTCACTCGATAGGGTAAATCATGGAAATCTTGGTTAGAGGAATCTGAAAAAAGGAGCTAAACGAGCAGGGGGCTGTGAGCATAGGACAGCAAGCATATGATATTGGGCATGTCACAGGGTGATATTTTAATGCCTTCTTCGCCATCAATAAATTGATGATATTGTTTCGAATGGTTTTAGCATAATCAATTTTATTCACTCTCGGATATTTCCCCCCAGTTTTGCAATTTGTGCCTTTCTCGCCCCCCATCCAAACTTTTTCCAACCAGTCTTCCCCTTCAAGTTATTTACCTAATTGAGTTTGTTAAAAATCTGTTGAGTTTTGTTAATTCCCAGGGTGGCGATGGAACGGGAAAGTGCAGGAATGAACTTGTTTGTAAGACAAGTACAGGGTGAATTTATTCACAAATTACACCGGTGATTTAGGCCTGAGCCAAGTCAATTTATTTACAATAGTTTAAATGGACTGCACAAATAAATAAACGAACTGTTGAAGTTGAAGTTTAGTTTGATAATTGTCTGATAATGTTCGTTGAAGCACTGGTGAATTTTCACTGATAATATTCACTACCTCATTGATGATTTTTCGTTAATTCACTAGCTATATAACATGTTGGATTTACTGTACAAGTGATAGCTGATTCGATGATTCTAATATACAGGGTGTTTCAGAAGTACATGTACATCTGAACACCCTAGGATCAGGGGGTGATTCTGAGCAGAA